GCCTATTGTAGCAAAATTCAAGCGAAATACAAGATGGTTCATTACACAATACTCCTTATACAGTATGATACAATCATACTGTTCCAGCTTACATGCACATTCAACTTAAGGACAGACCTTGGGAACAGAACTTGTTTTTAAACCGGGGACTGGCTATAGATTCAGCCAGAAGTCTTCAAGAGCAGGAGGAACGAATGCAAGCACAATTACTGATGCAACCTGGGATGCTGTGTTATTACAGTCCCTGATCACACAGAGCTCCTCTGCACTTCAAAAAAATGTGAGTTCAGCTCCCCTACAAAACTTTGGCTAACTGGATGGAGGTCAGGAAAGGGGGCCTCCAGGTATTCATCTGAAAGTAGAAGAGGCCAAGGATCAACCCAACCCCTATGACTGCCTCTCAGTTTGAACCCAGGTCTCCCATCTGACAAAGAGATCCCTATATCATATCTGCCATCACAGTCCTTATCTTGGGGGAATATTAACTTTTGATCCTGAGATGCTGCTGCCAAGGGAAAGACAACGTTCTTATCCAAGGAGATGAGGCAGAAACATGCAAAGCAGTTGCAGGTTTATGTCAAAAACAGCAGCAAGCCTAGCACTGGGGTAATGACTGGCATAAAACAGTGGAACATTCAGGCCAGTATTGGTTATCATCAGGTAGCTCTTTTCCCTTCCACACACTAAAATAACGTACCCGTGCATACACACCCATACATCCCAAGGACTATTTCTATTCCACAAGGCAAACAAATGAAAATTAAATGCAAAAATTAATTAGAGCACTACTCTTGGGAAGCACCCTGAGCCCATTTCAGGGCAGCCAGCTTGAAATAAAGGCCATCACTGTCCTTCTGAGATGCTTCAGTTACCTGCAAGAACCGTCATCTGAAGAGTTTCCATTTAGCAGAACTTTTTTTTGTGAAACCCTGAACTCTTTAGATGACATACCTATGGAAAAACTGCAGGCTTGTCTTCTCCACAAATCTCATTCAGAAAATCCAACCTCTATGCTAAATTTTCTGGGAAATGCTAGCACATATCTAAGGCAAATCCATTCATTCATTTGTGAAGTCCTTGTTTAGCCACAAAAGTTTGACAGGAAGCATGAGAAGCAACAATGTTTGTCAGCTCTACCCAACCCTGAAAAATCTCTTTCTATTTATGTGAACCGGAGTTTAAAAAACACACTACAGTATTTTACATCCAGTAGGACCTAGATGCATGGAGAATTTCCCACCTAATAATTACACTAAAAAGGCAAAAGGAGGCAAATGGTTGCACTAAACCTGCAGCAGTTACAACACATGGAGACAAGAACTGCTGAATCTTTGTGCCCCAGAGTGGCAAATTTACCTGGGTGGGTTTCAGTTCTAAAGGAATGCATTCCTGAAAGTGACATAATTGAAACCAACACTTTGTTTACTCTGCCTTCACTGAACTAGTCATCCTCCATCTTACACTTATATCCTTTGCAACCAGCACCACACTAGCTTATTTATCTGGGCCATTACTCCACATACTCACTGAACACTAGTACCCCATCTCATTTCATGCCACCTCATGTTGACTCTATGAACCAGATGGGATCAGCTAGTAGTAAAGAGGTTTTCTGAGATTCAAGGAGTCCCAGCAGCCAAATCGAATCTGGAGGCTGAGAACCAGCTGAGCCCCCAGGAATACAGATGCCTGGAGGATCAACTGAGGGACCTGAAGAAACATAGGAGTGCTTACTAAAAAGAAAGGCTCTTGAAGGATGGGAGCTCTACTTCAGCACAAGTAGCTCTATGACCAGTTAATCCTTGATAAACAACAATCATGGGTTTTAGGTGGAGAACTGGAGTAGTTGAGAGCAGATGAGTTCTAGGGTAACATTTGATTGCAGGCAAGCTACTATATTGTCACTCCTTGATTGCCACTTTCTGCCCAAGCCTGATCGTCCAAACCCCTTGGACCAAACTTTTGGAACTCAAACTGACACTTATTTCCTTCAGTTCTGCTCACTAACCTCTGGATTGCTGGCTAGCATCCTTCCACATCTGCCACCATGAGCTATAGCAGAGTAGGACAGCAACACGCCTCCTTGTTGAACTCTTGAACTGGTACATAGAATGTGTTCTTCACCATTAAAATAGGACAGTACTGTAATAATAAAGAGAGCAGTCCCTGCGGGCATGCTAACCTTAAAACGTGCCACAAGGTCTAGGGGGAAAAAGGGATGGCAATTGTCCTGCTTCAGAATTATGCTGGTGATCTCTCAGACAGGGAAAAAGTGCTTCACTCATCATTAATAATTCTAACATGGAAAATCCATCCATCTGAAGAATTTTCAACTGTTAAGATGCATTTCTGCATTCTTGCGTGCCTTCGAAATCTCATTCTTATTTTGGCTCTCTGCCCTCAGCTCTGGAATGTATATTCCCAGCCAAAGTCGCCCTTTCTTCAGTATCGGATATGAACTTCTCCTAGAATAAAATGAGATCAAAAGTGCCATAGCACTTTAATGGAGATTGTGTAAAGGGGTAGTTGCTGTTATATAAACTCATGCTGATACCCGTCGGAAATTTTCTCTCTGTGAGTTTTAAAAAACACATCAACCCCTCTCCCCGCAAAAAGAGGCCCGGCCTTCATTCTGTCTTAAGTTTTAGGAGCAAGATAATGTTGATGCATTTAATCACTTTTGCAAAAGTGAATTGAATCACTCTAATGCCATTCAGCTCATTGGCTTTTAACCAGTCAATAGGTAGAAACATTTCTATCAACCCAATCCACCCTACATTTGACAAAATCTATCCTGTGGTTTTGGGCATAGAACCTTAATCGGGCTTTCAGGAAATAAGTGCTGGTAATTAAGGGTAGACAGTGTAATTATGGTGAAACAAAAAACTGAAACAGTCACATCTCAGTTGATGGAAAACTGAATGAGTCAGTAATTCTTATTTACAAGATTAAATATAGGTTTAGGATTTAATCATCACTACCCTTGTTCAAAAGCAAGAAAGAAATTGAGTGTTTGGGTTATGATTTCCTTGGAGAATAGATGGTTTAAATTAAACATTATTTCTTTAAAACAACATTCTCTGTCCTTTCTCCAGCAATTCCTAATTCCCTGAGACATGACCTTTGGTTTCTTTTCATGGAATACTTCTCTGAGTTTGGGGGAAAGTGAGATATGCCCTTCAAATGTTGCATCAGGGTTAACTCAAATGCAGAAGAATTCTTCTGATTTCTGTCCTTCTCATGGCAGAAGAGAATACAAAACGGACTGTGCTGAATGAGCGTAAAGGCCAGGCTCGTCTGGCATCCCATACCTTCAGACCACCAGATGCTTCCAGAAAGCCTGAACCCAGGCAGAAGAGAGCCCTGCAGCTTCACGAACAAGGTAGCCTTCCACAGCCTCAAACAATCCCTCTTTCCAACCTATCCAAGGAGTAAACCTTCAGTACATTTTTTTTTGGGGGGGGGAGCTCAACTTAGACCAAAGACACCAAGGAGGATTTGACAGAAGGCGATGACATCATGCCTGAGGATGGCAGAATAATTCCTTCTTGCTGGGGTCATCCTATAAGGCCAGATGACTAGAAATTCAGTCCAGCCAAAATAAAGGGCTTCTTCCTAAAACATCCACCGCCTCGGATGCAGGCAGGGAGACAAATTAAAGCAGCCAAGGTGATGTCTGGCTGCCAGTCATGAGCTAGCAAATCCAGCCACGCCGGCCCTGCACGTCGGTCTAAGGCTGCCATGGGGTAAAGGAAGGGCAAGCGGAAAGGAAAGGGAAAAAAACTTTTTTCACAAGTGGGAGCCAAGCCCCTGAAGCGCAATCACCGACGGGGGGGGGATCAGAGCCCCCCCAGATACCTCCCCGAGGCCAGCAAGAGCGAGAGAAAACGCTTCGCGTCGAGGAACGTGAATTTATTCCTAGCCACTGTTGGGAAAACGGGCCACCAGATCAGGAACGATTCTGGCCCCGCAGCGAGAGGTCGAGCAGGGGAAGCAGCCCCCAAAACTCGGGGGGGGAGCAAAGCCCACCAGCACAGCCCTCCTCCAGGGGCCCCGGACTGCATCCCCAGGACGCCCAGGCGCGGAGGGGGATGATGGGCTCTGTAGTCCACCGCCAGTTGGGGAAGCTGTGCCAAGGCGCCCCCACTTCTGTTCTTCCCCGGGAGGGGAACAGGGCGGCCCCTCCCACCGCAGGAAGCCCCTCCCCCCGGAGCCCATA